ACGTTTTCATTCGAACACTTTTATTAAAAAAAATTGTTTCACTTTATATAAACATCTCTTTGGTCAACAAATATCAGTTGAAAGAGCTTTTAACTGATACTTGTTAAAATTTAATTAATTCATATGTTCGTAGGCTACTACAATTTTTCGGATCCTTAAAACATACGCGCGTGCGTCTACATGTTTTTTCTTCCTCTAAATATACGATTTCTTTTTTTACTTTTTTGCATATATTAGCATTCAAAGAGTTTACTAATTTTACTTCCGAAATTTTTTCGGAATTGTAACTTTCTCAATAAGATCGGGAGGTTCATCTGACTCTACTTCACACAATTGTATTTTGTTTGAACTTGTATGTAAAATCTCTGAGGGATTTTTACGATACTCATGGTTTTGATTAGAATTCGGAACTTTTTCTATATTTGAATTGACAACAATGTAGTTTTCAAGTAATGTTTTTAATGCACGCATAGGATCTTCACGTTCGCGGAAGGGACATGGTTGGGAAACAAGTGGTGCTGTATCAATCACTGTTACCTGAAAAAAAAAAATAATAATAAGTAACAGTAATAATAATAAAATTAAATTTCAATTAAAACTATTTGAAATAAATTATAAAAGTGTGAAAGAAAAATAAATAAACTGACCCATAGTGTATAAGTTAGAAATATCAATAGCATTTTTAATAAAATAGAAATCATTTTTTTTCAAAAACTGAGAATAATTTGAAAAGATAATTTGTAAAGTTGTTAAAACTCAATATAAAACCTCGAGCGCATTTCAATAATATTGAAATGCAATCGGTGTTTTTATATCCTAATGCTGAAATTTCAGTTGCAACAAACTGCAGCAAAAGTACAAAAATTTACTGAAGCGCAACTTACACAAAGTTCCACTGCATAGAAAAATATTTGATGTAAAATATTATGCTAAAAATATTAAGAGTCAATAATTAAAGTTATTTGTATTCATCTTTACTTCTTTTTTAAAAATTTTAATCCATTAAGAGGCTTATTTCTATACACTTTTGAGTAATTCTAGTATAACGCATTATCATCGATGAAAATGCAGTTCACAATTGGTCATAAATTTTTTAAAACAAAAATTAATAACAGTTTAGTTATTATTAAACAACAATAAAAAGTAACACGTGTTAAACATATAATTCGAACTAGACAATAACGCGTTACAAGAAAAATAACTTTTGACTACAAAGATTTAAACCTGTACCTCTTTACAAGACTCATCACGAACTTCTACGATTAAAAAATATAAAGTTATACATTCAATTTAGATCAAATTTTGGTCTGAGTTTCGGGTTTTAGGATCACCCTCTTTTTTCTCTTTTCTTTAAAGTTTGAAAATAAACTGTAAACTCAATTCAAAATATAAATCTTTATTAAAAATTGGTTGTGCATTTCTTCTCCCTCTTCTCTTAGGCTAAGTACAAACGCCGCGAATTTTGTGACTAGCATGACAATACATTTCACAGTCTTTTAGATATTAGAATGCAGCTGAATGTTATTATATGCAAACGCAGTAGGATTTTATAATTTTAAGAAATTAAAAAATGCCAACGGTCCCAGGCTGCAGAAAAGTTTCTATTAAACTAACAGTTTTTTGTAAGTTTTAGGTCATACATTAAATATTCGTATACTATATGTTCCTAATGTTTTATTTTGTTCAAGTTTGTATTTAGATTTATTACTGAAATTATTTTTTCATAACAAAAAGAAAGATTTTATTATAATAAAAATACACAAACAAGAAAAATATAATTTTTGTGATTTGTTTGCTGCAAACAAATGATAAAAATGTATATATTTTTTTGCGTTTTTATTTCCTTTTTTTTTTATCATTTTGAAGTTTTTGTTTTTGTGTATGAAATAGTATGTTCAGTAGTTAATCTAAATGTAAACTTACTTGAACAAAATATAACTAACATTGTGAAACTGTAACTGTTAAACTGTAAACTTTATAAAACTTAAAAGACTTTGAAGAGTTGCGATTAAAAGTTGCTTTTTATTTTTCCTCTATTTGTTAGTTTGTTTAGATTAATGGGCTTAATTTATTATTCTGTTTAAAAAAATAAAATTTTTTTGCGCTAAGTTTTTCATAAATTTACAAGCTTAGTTTGATTTATAAACACATTTATTACAATAGATCAGTTCTAGACCTCTTACAGATGTCGTTTTAAATGTGTCATTTATTTATTTATCACACTTTTGCCAATAAAACAAATTTACAGTCGTAATTTATAATAAATAATTACACGACCAAGGAGTAAAGAAGAAAAACTTAGTCCTATTAATTTGAAAAAATAAGAAGATATGATTTTACATTAAACACGATTTACTTTTAAAACACTTTTCAGTTCAACTTAATTTGTTATAACAATAAAATGTGTTTTATTTAAAATTAAAAGTAAAAGAACAATAAACAACGCAAAAATAAAAATAATTTTCTCAAAAAAAAGGTTAACATTTAAAATAACAAAATATATGTACATATGTTGAACAACTATGTATTAATAATCTACAGTAATTAATTGTTTATTTAATTATTATTATTGATTTCTGATTTGAAGAAACTTTTATTTTTAGTTAGAAGAATTTTAAATAATTTTTGTTTAACGATAAAAATTGCTTAAGTTTTGTGTTAAATTGGTCTAGAGAATAATTAGTTTTCAGTTCATTATTTAATTAATGTTCCACAACTTTGGTCCTCGGTTTACAATAAAGAAATTAGTAGCAGATAAATTTAATTTTGGATTAAATGTAGATGTAATTTGAGAATCTAGTAGGGTATATGTGATTTATTTTTTGAAAATTTACTAATAATAAATTGTATAAAAGTAACAGAAGTAGTAAAAGTATACAGATATAGCTTCGATCATTAATATACTTTTAATTTAGTAGTAGTAAAAAAAGGGTCAAAAATGAAACTTTTAGGGACGGTTAAAAATAAAAGAAGCCATTTTTTCAATTTTGCATGCTTAAATCTATTATGTGTTTTTTTTAGGCATGAACAAAATAACCTTGATGCTAACTTCAGAAGTAAAATATAGATTAAATAAGATCAAAACATAAGGTCCGATGTCAGATTTGTTTTGTCACTTCTATGGCTTCATAATTCTAAAATAAATATTTTTAAAAATAAAAGTTTATGCACGTCTTCAAATGTTAATAGTAAAAAAGCGCTGCTGATATATATACGTATGTATTTATTTGCAATGACATCTGTTTCCCTCACATTTTGTTCCTAATTTAAAATCCCTGAGTATTTTAATTCAATTTTCTTTTGACTGCCCAGTGGGCACGGAAGTAAAAAAGGACGTCTTTTAAACGTCTTATACACGTTTTAGACGTTTTCTGAACGTCTTTTGACTGTTTTGGACGTATTTTAAACGTTTAAAAGACGTCTTTTTAACTTCCGTGCCCACTGGGTGTTTGCTACTGAGTAATACTTTATTATGTGACGGCAAATAGTTCTTAAGCACGTGCGTGCAATAATTGCACACTTGGACTGAGCAGAGTCGATGAATAATTCGTGGGACGTAAAGGTTCAAGCAACTGATGAAAACAATTTTCATTAGTAAACTGTATAACTCCATAACTGGATAGGACCTTAGATAGTTGCGTATTGGAATTGCATTACTTATTGAAAGAAAAAAATACATAAAAAATACATTTTCGAGTAGCGAGCAGCGGTAGCGTAGTGGTTAGCGTGCTTGCCTATGAAGTTAGTTCCTTGATTCAACACCACCTCTAGACAAGTTTTATAACATCGATAAAGAATGTTGCGCAAACTTCCTTTAAACGCTCTTCTGCGGTGCTTTGTGAAGACCATAATGTCTTTTTAATGCAACTAAAATAAAAATTAAAAAAAAATTATAAATGGTGTATGAATTTTTAGCTAAGTAAACACAACCTAGAGGTTTTTTTTAGTAGCATAGTATAAAACTTAAAAGTTATATGTAAACACACACAAACACAAAAATATAATTTTTCAGCAACTCCCGTGTTACGTACATATTTGTGTATAGATTTTATAAATGTTATATATATTTTTTTATTAAATTATACACTCACAACTACTTATTTGGCTCCTTATTATTTTTAATTTTTTTTCGTTTACTCAAAAAAATATATTCTTTGAAGTTGTTCGGCAAATTCAGGGCTAGCAATATCATGTACTTTCGCGTTTGTAACTATATTATGTGATTTCGTTTTTTTTCAATACTTTGCTAATGCTTTATATATAAATAAACAGTTTTAACCAAACAGCCATTTGTAAGTAATTAGCTCAAGAACCACTTTTTTTGTATTTTGTCATTTTTTTAAAAAATTTATCAAGGATTGTGCAATGTTTGAGATTTGTTTGAAGGGCAAGTACCTCCTTTATTCCCACCCCATCTACCCACTAGTCCTTTGTATTCGCCCGTTATTGGAATCATAAATCAAAAACGGCAAATATCAAATTGGATCATCTCCACTCTAGGTATATGTAGAAAAAAACAGAAAATATTTGTAAATCGTTAAAAATCTCGCTCATGAAATCGAAAAAAAAATTCTTTAGATCATTTCGGACAGTTTATAGCCTCATTTAAGTCGCATTTTAGATCCTATGAATTTAATAGACAGTAAAATTTTGCCCCTAAGAGCTTTTAAAAAACAAAGCATTATAAACCTCAGAACACCTGTACCAAAGGTATTTAAAAAAAGGATTAAAACATACCATTACGACTACAAAAAAACAACAAGAAAAATAAAAAAAAAGTTATAACTTTATTTTATTAAACATAAATAAAAACTTATATAAAAACAAATTATATAAAATAGGACATACAATAAATAATGTTTTTATAAATAATATTAGAGAAAAAATAAAAAGACATGTTTCTAATAGTATAAATATTTTCTTATGAGTACAACTTTTAAGAGAGTTATATTTACTTTATATAAACAATTGCTTAGTCAACAAATATTAGTTAAAAGAGCTTTTAAATATTAATTTTTGAAATTTATTTAAATCATATGTTGGTAGGCTACTACAATTTCTCGGATCTTTATAACGTACAAGCGTACGTCTAAATGTTTATCGCAATTTTTTTCTTCCTCCAAATAAAGGATTTCTTTTTTTACTTTTTTGCATATATTAGCGTTCAAAGAGTTTGCTAGTTTTACTTCCATAACTTTTTTTGGAATTGTAACTTTCCCAAACAGATCGGGAACTTCGACAGACTTTATTTCACACACTGGTATTTTGTTTGAAAATGTATGTAAAAACCCTGACTGATTTTTACGATGATCATGGTTTTGAATAGAATTCGGAACTTTTTCTATATTTGAATTGACAACAATGTAGTTTTCAAATAATGTTTTTAATGTACGCATAGGATCTTCACGTTCGCGGACGGGACATGGTTGCGATATAAGTGGTGCTGTTTTAAACGCTTTTACCTAAAACATAAAAAAAAAAAACTATATTTAGAATTTTAACAATAATAATAAAATCGATTTTCAATTAAAACAATTTGAAAAAAAATTTAAAATGTAAATGGAAAATTTTGAAACTCACCAAAAGCGTAAAAAATAAAAATGTCAATATCATTTTAATTAAAATAACAAAATAAATTGTAAAAATATTTAAATTTGATATCTACTAGAGCAAAACAGTCTTTTTGAAATATCTTTAACTTACCATTTTAAAAGGCGCTTGGATTTTATAGCGCAATGCTAAAACTTGAGTTGCAGCGAACTGCAACAAAAATACAAAAATTTACTGAAACGCAACTGACACAAAATTCCATCACAAAGAGTGTAAAATACTATGCTATAAATATCAACAGTCAATAATAAAAGCTATTTGTATTCATCTTTTTTTCTTTTTTTAAACTTATAATCTATATTCAGAGGATTATTTCAATACGCTTTTAAATAATTCTAATGCACGGCTTTATCATCAATGAAAACCTAGCTAATATTTTGTCATAAAGTTTTTAAAGTAAAAATTATTAATAGTTTAGTTATTATTAAACAACAATAATAATTATAACGCGTAAAACATATACTTCAAACTATTAACTATCGCGTTACAAGAAAAATAGCGTTTGCCTCCAATGATTTGAGCCCGCATATCGTTACACGACTTATCACGAATTTTTACGATTAAAAATTATAAAGTTCAGTTTAACTTAAATATTGTCTGACTTAAGTAAAGGAGGTTTATACTCCCTTTCTATTTTTTTGACTTTGAAAGAAAAACCGTAAAATTTAACTTAAAAACTTTATTTGAAAATTTGCTTGCCATATTCTCCTATTCCATTCTTAGATGAAAAACAAGTGCCGCAAATCCTGTGACTAGCATGACACTACCTGTCGTGGTCGATTTAAGGTCAAATTGCATGACTCTGGTTATTTAAATGACTAATGTATGTTTTTTTGTTGTAAATATAATCAAATAACTTAATTTCTTGCTACAGACTGTGTACACATCTGTTTTACGCCTTCTTGCAGAAGTCAATTTAATTTTTTGTTTGGCCTTGCATGAAATGTCCGATCAAATCAAATTGAATTTTCAAAAAACAATGTCCATTTAAATGTTTAAATTAAAATTTATTCACTAATTGTTTATTTTTTATAATGTCATACATTCATGTTTAATTATCAAGGACTCATGAAAAAGTCTAGTCAAAAGTGAAAAAAATACTGCTGATGATTGTCTTTTTTTTGATACGCGCGCATCTGGGTTTTACGGAACCGAGTTATTCAAATAAAATCTGTTTTTTTACTGAATTACTGAAACTAGGTGTCAAAGTAGAGATATAATTATTTCTAATTTTCAATTAACAGATTATAAAGCCAAAACGGTATTGGCCGAGGCTTATGCATCACAACTCTTTTACGTTCAAAATTATTGATAACTTAAAAGTTAACAACTCACATTGCGAATCGTTATCAATGGAAATAATTAATCTAAAAGAAATAAATGCGTATGTAACATATTTATATCGATCACCAAACTGCAGTTATAAACAATTTGAAAACCACTTAAAGAAAATATTAATTCAAACTAAAAAGAATAATACTTGCTTATAAGGAGATTTTAACTTAAATCTAATGAATTTTAACAATGATAACATTGTTAAAAGCATTATACATATTTTTTCGCAGTTAAGTGCTTTTTCCGCGATCAACAAACCAATAAATGTTACTCATAATGTCAAGTTTCCACTCATTCGTTGTTACGAGACAAAATTATTACGTGGGCATGCATAATCAAGTTTTTAATTTGTCATTAGGAAAACTGCGTATGCTCATGAATGGAAATTTACTTTAAAACATTATCTCTCATAGACAATATTATTACTAATAACAGTTGGGAACTATTAAAAGTTTGTAATGACGTATGTCATTTAAAAATGACAAAAAACTAAAATTGAAAAAACCATAAAATCTAAAAACGTGCATAAACGCTGGCAGCGAAAGAAATTTTTAAAACTCCAAAGAAAAAACAAAAGCTTTATCAAAAATAAAAAATAAAGACCAACCTTTAATAACAAATCGAATATAAAAATTATAAGAAATTGTTTGAAATAATAAAAAAGCAATCGAAAAAGAAATCTGTTCGAGTTTACTGTATAAAGCGTTAGGAAATCCTATAAAAAAATTGACTATAACAAACAAAACTAGGGGAAAAAAAAACTTTAGTTTTAACAACATTCCCAACTGACATCAAACTGAGAATAATGGTGAGAGTTTTTAGGAATAAAAAAATTCTGAGAAACTTAATAGTTTTTAACATTGGGTTGCAAGTTATAAATGAAGTTAGTCAGTGAAATCTTTCCAAGTAATAAGTTAGTCAGTGAAATCTTTCCAAGTAATAAATCATTTGTCTTTTTTAAAAAAAATCTGACTTTGTAATAAAAGATTCAAAGTTTTTTTTGATGGGCTTGGTTTAGCTTTTAACTCGCTTCAAATGAATAAAAGCGCAGGTCTTGTTGATGGTAGTGCTAATATTGTAAAAGATGTTTATGATATTATAGAATCACTACTTTTCATTACATTTATTCTTAATTCAAAAAATAGAGACTTTGATCAATTAAAATTAGCCTTATTAACTCCAATTTATAAAAACGGCGACGAAACAATAGTAACAAACTACAGGCCTATCTCAATACTTTCCTGTTTTTCAATGTTTCTTGAGCGTGGATGTACTACAAAGTATACTGTTTCTCTGAAAAAAAAAAAAATTTTGAATCATAAACACTTTGTCGTGGTCTACGTCTGTGGAACTCGATGCTGAATAATGAAATATAAATTTTATTACGACAATAAAAGTTTTTATAAAAACAGTGAAACAATATATGCTAATTCTAACCATTGAAAACATTTTTTTTTTAACTCGTTTTTTTATGTATTTATTAACTTGTTATATGTTTATTGATATATATGTACATGTTTAACTCTTAAATATGTGAGAACTAGTTTTATACTTATTATTTTATGAATTTAAACTTGTAAGTAAAGTAAACTGCTTTACTAAATAAGGAGCAAGGTGATAAGATGTCTTCTACCTACTCTTATCAGACTTTAAAGTATTATATATTTTTTTTTTGCAATTACGTTGTATATTTACTTGTTTATTGATATATAAAATACAAAAAAGTGATATATAAAATACAAAAATACAAAATAAAAAAAAGTGATCTGTGAGAGGTGTAGAACTAAACATTTTTGCAATAGAAGTGTTTATAAATAAAGTTAAAGCTTTGTTAATTATTACAAATTTAGCACAAAATGTTTTTTTTTTTCCAGAATAAAAAATTGAATCCGCAAATCTAAAATAACTAAAGCAAAAAGAAAAATCTTATTCAACCCCTGACAAAAAACTTTTATTAACGAAGCTTAATTATAGAGCAAAAGTGCTTTAGATTTTGTAAAGTTTACAGTTTAACAGTTACAAATTTACAGCGTTAGTTTTATTTAAATAAGTTTATATTTAGATTAATTACTGAAATTCAAATAAGTTTATATTTAGATTAATTACTGAAATTCAAATAAGTTTATATTTAGATTAATTACTGGAATTCAAATAAGTTTATATTTAGATTAATTACTGGAATTCAAATAAGTTTATATTTAGATTAATTACTGAAATTCAAATAAGTTTATATTTAGATTAATTACTGAAATTCAAACAAGTTTATATTTAGATTAATTAATGAAATTATTATTTTAAACACAAAAAAGAAACATTTCAATATGATAAAAATATTCGCGTATAAAGGCGAGTTTCCACTCATCCGTTTTTTCACGGGAACGGGAAAGGGACGGAAAAAATTATCACGTGGGCATGCGTAGTATAATTTTTAATATGTCTAAAGGAAAACTACGCACGCTCACGTGATTATTTTTTCCTTCCCTATCCCGTTCCCGTGAAAAAAGGATGAGTGGAAACTCACCTTAAGAAGGTAATTTTTTTAGTGTAAAAAATCACAAAAATGTAACTTCTTTTGCGTGTGTATTTTTATCAAATTGAATTCTTTCTTTTTGTGTTTGAAACATTAATTTCAGTAATTATTTTAAATAAAAAATTATTCGATCAATATAAAAAATTAGAACACTTATTATGACCTAGAATATACAAATAACTGATAGTTTAACTACTTGCTGTTGCTAAGGAAAATGGATGATGCTATTCGCACGGCCGCCGTGTTCCCATTCTCAAAAGGCTATTTGTACGGCCGCAAAACCAAATCTCGCAATCAATTTTTGAGTCACTTCCTGATGATAAATTTTCTTCAAATTTTGCATACATACTCTTGCTAGATGACAATACAATATTCAATAATTAGTTGAGCAATAAGTTTACTAATTTAGTTAGTTTTAATTAAATTTATTTTTTATATGTGAAAAAGAATTTAAAGTTTATAAATAAGTATACTAATTGTTTAAATACTTAAATGCCTAAAGCTTATTTGGTAAAATCGCCGACTTCGTAAACTGAAGATCGTAGGTTCGAGTCTTGCCTCTTCCTGGATATTTTTTGTTTTTTTACACACGCATACTGCCGAATGTTAATAAAATAAAATTGTAGTATCAGAAACAACATATAAAGGCACTGGATTTTAAAAACTAGTTTTTAATTTTACTTGTTCTTTTCGCGTTTTTTTTAGAATGGCAAAGAATTTTATGTAAATACCAAGGTTGTCATTTTCTTTCAGATCTTCTTATTCAGATCATCCTGTTTTTTTAAAATTTATTTTGTTGTACCTATGAAATAATTCTAAAATTTCCTATTAATTAATTTTAAAGTTATTTCAAATTTTGCCAATTTTTCCGCGCAAACACCTATTATTAACTGTTTAGAAGTTGTGCGGCGGCCGTGTCAATAGACACTATCATTAGATATCAAATTAAATACTTTTATAAATTATTGGTTCAAATTATTATCTGCTTTATTTAAAAAAAAAAAATTAATAATAAATTAAAAATGCTATTGACATTTCTAACTTACACGTTTTTGGAGAGTTTATAAACTTTTTAAAATATATTTCCAATTGTTTTAAATAAAATTCGATATTATAGTTTTAGTTAATATTAAATCGAGTGAATATAAAAAGCAATTGTTTTTTACTCAGATACTGGTCAGTTTTACGTGAATAAAAACTTAATCAATTTTCGACAAATTTTTATTCACGTAAAGTTAAGCACGATAATCATTATTGCTAAACTTTTTATTCACGTAAAGCTGACCAATTATTGAGCAAAAGCAATTGCTTTTTTTTATTCACCCGGCCTATTCATTTTTATCACTATCTCTAATGATAGTGATAAAAAAAAAGATAGTGAATCTTTTTTTTTTATCACTATCATTTTATTTTTAGGTAAAAATGTTTAAAACAGCAACACTTATTTCGCAACCATGCTTTGTCCATAAACATAAAGATTCAATGCGTACATTAAAAACACTACTAGACTATTAAACTACATTGTTGTTTCAAATATGCAAATATTGAAAAAGTTCTGAATTCTGTTCAAGACCATATGTACTGTAAAAATCACTCAGGAATAATACATATATTTACAAGCAAAAAACTAGCGTGTGAATTAGAGCAGTTGAAGTTCGCGATCTATTTGGGAAAACTACAATTCCAAAAAAAGTTATAAAAGTAAAATTAGTAAACTCTTTGAACGCTAATATATGCAAGAAAGTAAAAAAAAAAGCCTTTATTTCCCAGCAAACATGTAAGCGTTGAATCAACGTTGAAAACCAGTCGCAGCGTAAAAAAAGCGTTATAGTCACTCTACAGTGGTTTCAACGTTGAATCAATGTCTGTTTTTGTATACTAAACTGCGGTAAATTGAAACGTTGAATAAGCGTTGAAATTGTAACGTTATTTAGCCTCTAAAAATAAAACGTTTATTCAACGTGAAATCAACTTACGCAAAAAGCCACTTTAAAAACGTGTCGAAGTATATTCTTTATCAACGTTAAAAACAAACCGCTTTTTAAACGCGACATTTTCAACGTTGAAGAAGCGTATAAATTTAAACGTATCTTACCCGACGGGCATACGAACATTTAATCAACGTTTAAGTAATGTTCGTTCTAAATGTTTAGATTTAATTTAGTTTTGATTTAGAACGTAGGTCAATCGAATGTTCCATTTAAACCAAATCTAAATGGTTCGTTTTAAATGCTATTTAAACTCCATCTAAATCTTTCGTTTTAAACGTCGTCTAAATTTTTTAAATTTACGTTTCTTTAATTTATATGCTTCTTTAAATAAGCGCCGTAAAGAAAAGTCAAACGTTGAACGCGTAACTAAATACTCATAAACGAATCAAACATACAGATATTTTTTTTCATAAATGCAAGTCTTAAACATATTTACACTAATTTTAATTATTATAATATGAATTATCGTATTTATCATTATCATGATCGCTTCCATGACAATAAGCATCATCTTTGCTTGAATCGTTCAAGCCAGCCTCTCCATCTTGAGAATTGGAAAAATGGGCGCCACCTTTCCCAGTGCCACCTAAACGAAACGGAGCCATTCTAAGATGAGAACCAATGCACGAATGTATTTCGGACAAAGAAGACGTAGAATATCGTTTCAATACAATTGAATTTAATTTCAATTACAAAAAATATAAAAATAATATTTTACCAACAACAAGTTGACACAGAGCAGAGTCTCTAAACGGAAGCTTTTTAAGAGAACCTTTACCATCCATACTCAAATGAGACATAACAAAATTTGTAAAAAGTCTTTTCAATAGATTCTTTGAAGTATCTTTAATGGATGACCCTCCAATTCGTTGAAGAAGGCGAAGCTACAAAGAAATTATTTATAAATGCTACTTTTCATTACACATGGGATTCTAATTAATACAAAAACAAAAGTCTTGCCACCTCAATGAAAGCAAAACATATTTTCTGACATCAAAACAAACATTATATAGACGTTAAAAACCTTTGTGGGAAAGAGGATAAAAACAATTAGCTATACACTTACTAAAATTGTTCGATTAGCAAGAACTCCACATTGCTCCTCTAATTTTCTGTATCCATTCAAGGTCCCAATAGCTCCAGCTATAACTTCTAGATGGACCTCAGCAACAGTCTCTAAACTTGGTACAGCCATCATTTCCACTGCTATTCGTAAATCTTTAATTTCGTTAGCCATATTTGATAACTGATAAAGAACTTTTCTCTGAAACTCTGTAAAATATATAACATTTATATAAAAACCTTATTAAAAAAACTACACAAATTTCGTTATAACTGTTCACAGTGATAGGTTGATAACAGATAGCACAATTGCAAAGCAACTGCCTTATCTACAGTAAAAAAAAACAGCCGAATTAAAAAATATATTATTAAATAATATATAAATAAGGTTTGATAACTTACTCCCATTATCGATTTCATTTTCTTGAGGAGCAGTTGGCTCACTCAGTATCATGTTTGCTTGAAACTTTCTATTTAATGCTGATAGTTTCACTACAATATAAATAATTATACAATTACATTGGGCGTTGTAATTCAAAACTTATTTAGATACGTCATTAAATTTTTGCAGTATATAAGTAAATCAGACCCCATATACTATACAACATTATACTATAAATAAACAATAACTAATATCATTATTACAGTTAATTCTAGATATCTCTAATATTTACCAAATCCCTTGGATATTACACTTAAGTTAAAAATTAAATATTACTTGATCGATCTATTACATTGTCTTTTGATGTGGCAGCTCTCTGTCTGAATATTGGTATTTTAGAATCAAATTTTCGGGGTAACAGAAAAGGAGAAAGTGCTGATTGGTTAGCTATAATGTAAATAACTATATAGTTACATTATTTATACAAAGTTGTTTTCAATGAAAATTTACTAAATTTTCCTAAATTTGATTTAAAAAAGTTTATCCTTAAAAGGATAAAGGATTAAATATGTTCATAAGTCGTAAAAGTTAGTAGGTCTAAATCTGAAGATTATTTAAAAGTGAAGGTGGTCTATATCAAAGATATAAATTTAGACATCTTACTTGATTGATCCATTTTATTTTCTTTTGGTATAGTCACCATGCTTGATTTGAATGAAGGTATCTTAGAATAACAGCTTGAAAGACCAGGTGACTGTGGAATTGGTGATAGTTTAGCTACAATGTAAATCTCAGGGTATACTTTTGAGATATAACCATTACAATTATTATTAGTATTCAAAGATATAAAGTACAACAACTTACTTGCATGATCACTTTTATATCCTTGTGGTACCACATCCACAACCTTTTTATATAGTGAAATATTTGATGGTAACATTTTGCCTAATTTAGCAGGTGGCTGTGGAAATGTAGATAGTTTTACTATTTTAAAAATAAAATACAATTACAGCAAGTGTAAAAAATTATTTTTAATAACTGCTTTATTACAAAATACATACACATAACACTATTATTACTATTATTATGTAGGCTATTATTAGCTCCTGCTCTACTCTTCATAAAATTACTAATTAATGAACTTGTTTCTTCACGCAGCAGCCTTGTTCGTCAAGGTTTGTGTTTCAGAGTTATGAAGTTGAGAGAGGGTTGAAACTGCAAGTAGCCTCTTCGATTGTAGTGGTCATCTCAGCCTTTAGGGAGGTGAATTAACATAAAAAATATATATTCTTACTTTCTGTATTAATATCAACATCAACTTCTTCCTCGCCTGAAAAAAACAAAGTGTTTTACTAGAGCTGTATTAAAGTAGTGGTATTATATCCGAATAAATAACTTCAATTTTGATTAAAATAATGCAAAATTATAGATTGATAATAAGTTTTAAATATTATATTTTATATATTGTTTGTCAGTTTTTGTATATTTCACATATGTTATTATTTTCAGTTTATATATTCTATTTACTATTTATATGAGTATTAACAAATTAAAGTAAAACATTCAAAAAAAGTTGTACAAGCAGTACGCTTGCGCTTTTTTGAAACTTGCTGATTATCTTCTTCAGTTTCTGTAGTTAAATCATAATTATTACAATCCTCGTAGCAATCTGTAAAAGAAATAAGAAAACATTTAATTTATCCAAAGAAGTTATTGACAAATAAATTCTTTTAACAAGTAATGACTAAATTCTTTAACATTTTGCGAATGTAAATTATGAAGCTGTTGTCAAAAAATAAACACTAAACCTGAAGTAATTTTTATTTTTATTAGTTTAAAAAGTCGCCAATTTTCATTAGGTTCTACTCCTTCTTTCATTAATTTAAACGCATTCATTTTGGATGGGGGCCACATAACTACTTTTCCCCGCACCCATGCGGATGGCAAGACTCCTTCTTCCTCACGATTTTCTTCCAACCAAACAGCCCGGTGATATGACATTTTACTAAAATGTTAATACTCTTTTTATTGTAGGTACATCAACACATAACATAAACTTGTAACTAAACTTGTTTAAAAGTGTTTAATATAAGTTTAGTCATTTACAAATACATAAATATTATTTTACTAATACATATAAATAGTAGTTTAATTATTGTTATTATCACTTGTTTCAGCTAAACAAGACACCAATAGAAGTTATTATCAGAGGAGATGGTTATGAAAATTTCTATATTAATTACTCTTTAAAATTTTAAGATTAATATCTAAAATTATTTAGATTTACATTAAAAGTAAACAAAATCGAAACAAAAATTAAAAAAAAATTAAAAAGTTAAAACATAGGAAAATAAAATCACAACTTAATATACCTAAAATAAATTTACAATAACTTACACCAAATAAAAATATTAATAAAAAAAGAAGCTATAATAACTCTTTGATTAACTACGAAGGCTAAAAAATATATAGCTTTTTTCACTCATAGTGCTAACCTAGTATACTATGAAATATCTTCCTTAAATTAAAAATCACATTAGGCATTCTAGCATATTTAAACATATTAAACATATAGACATAAAAACATATTTAAAACTATATTAGAGGGAGATAAATATAAAAAGAAATGTTTTTGAATATGTATTTATCAACTTTAATTTAACTCAAGACTAAAATTATTTCAATTGTTCGATGGATAATTTTCTGTTGCCTTTGATTAAGTTAACCATAATAGTATTATTAGTAAAATAATTTAGCACTCTTTTGAATGAAGAAGAGACATTAACACAAAGCCACCATTACAGGGAAACTTCATAGCCTTTTTCTCGATTTCTGCAAATTTCACATTCTTCGATTTAGAATGCTTATAAGTATTGTTCACAAAATAAATGTCTAAAAGGTCAGATGAGCATGGCTCAATAAAAAATGGATGCAAATTAGCAAAACTGAACACATAACACATATATGAATCTTTTAAAACCTCATATACCTCCACAAATTGTCCATTTTTTAGTTGTGCAAATGAATCTCTATATGTTGTTGACAATTTAAAGACCGGTGTTGTTGCATTTGTAATTTCAGAGTATTTATGGGCATTTTCATATTCTTGAATTCTTTTTGCTACTTGTACAGCAGGATTTGAAGAGCCTCTTACATATCTTTTTAATGTTTGCAGATAATTTTCAAAAGGAAAAGCACTGATCTCATCAAGTGGTAAACCAAAAAACTCTACATCATCTCCTATATGCAGCAAATGATGAATATTGTATACAACAAAATCATTACCATATAATTTTTGAGAATTCTCAACAAAATGTCTAAGCAAATCTTTTGCATAGTTCAACATGTTATTTCTTTTGTCATTTGATGGTGTGAGTAGAATTGATGCACCAACAGAAAGTGTTAAAAAATGTTTGTAAAGCTCAGAATTCAAAATTCTCTTTAAGACAATAGGCCCTGTGTATAATAAGAATTGCCGGAATTCAGTGGCCTTCCATCTATCAAGGTCCAACAAAGATCTAGGGCGTCTAACAAACTCACTTGGTATGCATTTTCGTAAATCGAAAAGGTTTTCAGAAACTTGCAATATGTTGTTGTTGCTTAATTTCACTTTTCTATTACCTTTTTTCAATGTTTGAAGTATACGACGTACAACACCTAAGCATATCAAATGCATATAGTCAAGTGGAAAAATGCTGATACATTGGTCTGTTATTTCATTGAAAGGCGAAGCTCCGTGTTGATGACTTCTAAGGAATTCAAGATTTTTAAAACTGTCATCTGTACGCCTTTCAGCATTGAAGCAATCAGAAGAAACAAACGTTGTTCGCCTGTTAGTTGATGTACCAACAGCAAGACAGCGTTCACATGCATGCAGGCTATTGTGACCAACAATATTTTTCAGAAAAGATCTTGCTGGAGCATCACAAATAACTGAGTGCAAAATAACTGTATAATTTTTACCATTATGAGTGACACCATTACATTTTAAAAATTTATATTCATCAATAAAATCCTTTAAGAATTCTTTAACACAGTTTGGCTTACTATCTCCTTGATATAAGGCAACAATTGTGGGTGAACTATGATTAACAGCAGAAAGAATCAGCCAAAATTGTCTTTTCGATGATCTAAACAATGGTATACCGTCAACATTTATTTGCAGATTGAGTATATTGCTGCAAGTGCCTTGATTTATTGAATTCTGTAAACATTTGGTAAGGCCAAAATAAATGTATTTTCCACCACATTTTTCCTGAACCTGTATAGCTTGAGGTGTTTGTAAAAGAGTACGGCTATCTTTAGGCAGCTCGCACCCATGTTTTCTCAACAAGGCTAGCAAACCATTACATGATAAACGTGTGAGTTTTGCATTAACAACCCATTGAGCTAGATCGTATTGAAAAGATCTATTGCCAACAACTTCTATATCACAATAATGTTCATCGTCTGAGCTGCTATTAGGTGGTACTATGTCGATGTCAATATCATCTATATCACAATTTTCTTCATCGGAACTACTGTAAGGTGGTACTATGTCAATGTCAAGTCTATAGGTATCACTATTAAATAAATTATCAGTTATATTATTTGCAATAGAAGATAAAGCGAATAAATTTTCTGCATTAGTTGAAGAATTTGATAACACAGGAGGTTCACATTTAAAGCAATTATTTGCATCTTTAACAACTTTTCTATATTTTCGCATATACTCTGCTTTTGCACTCATACGAATGATCTAAAAAATCAATTAAATAAAATATTAGGTAACAGCGCTCGAAATAACAGCCGATCAACGATCAATGATCGGCTATTTTTAGAGAAATTTAGAAAAATTCAAGGGAAAATAAGCTGTTTTTGTCAAAAAATTACATTTGATCGGCAAGTTTTAAAAAACTATTTCGAGCGCTGAGGTAATGTTATTTTTTATTTACAAACTTATTTTTTTTTATATAATTTATATGAATATTATTATAGATAAGATAATAAGAGTTTAAGATATTATAACTAAATAATAAACTTAATAACAACGTATAATTAGATTATTTGTAACAATAATAATAATAATTATTATTAATATTTTATTAATCACCCTCTGTAAAATAAATTTACAAGGTAAAAACACAAACTAAGAAATAGAGATAAAAAAAAGTATTATTTAGGAATGTTTTCTTCAAGTGTCTTTTCAAAAATTGTTCGCTGTTCTTTTACATTCCAACATTAAACCGCGTGTAATAAAATATGAAGAGTAGCTTCAGAAATTACTTCCTCTAAGACTTTAAGTTTTACTTTTTTTTTAACCAGCATTAAGGTGTTCATATTCAGTTTATGATTATCACATAATTCTTTTATATCGTCTAAAAAAGAAAATTTAGCTGAACAGTAGTTAAGTTGGGAGTTACTGATTTCAAAGGTTACTTTATTGTTTAAAGGGCGGATAAATAGATTTTTTTTTTTTTTAATGTATATAACTTGACATCTCCTTAATTTTAAATAGAGAGTGTATATAGTTAATTTTAAGTAGAAAGTGTATATAGTATAGAGAGTGTATATAGTACTTTAAATAGAGAGTGTATATACTTGGAGACATTAAAAATTGATTTAACTGCGTTCCTTCCAAATGAGTAGAGTCTTTTCATTGTTGCATCTTTATTTTCACAGATTTATTATTATTATTATGGAGATTATTATTATGAAGATTAAGATTAAATAATTACGCTAATAAAGTAAATAAAACAAATTAGAAACAAAAACAGTAGTTTAAAAAATGTAAAAGGTAAAAACTATACTTTTTTTTTAATGAGTTATAAAATTATTTTTTTATACACAAGTTAAAGATAAGGAAATCAAACATATTGACAACAGAGTTTGTCAAGGTTTGTGTTTCTGTATTAAAGAGTTACACCGCTGCCCAAATTTTTTCTCAGAATAGGCCCTG